CCATATACAAAAAATAAATTTCAGCCTAGATCTACACTGTGTGTCTACTTAGGAGTTTCTATTGTTCATCATGCACACCTCTGCTTTAATCCTGTGCACTCAAAAAATTTCGTTAGTCGTGATGTTCAATTTTGTGAAGATATTTTTCTTTTCACTCAAATGTTCACACACTTGAAAAATAAGTTTTCCACGTTACAATGGGAAATCATGGAGTCCCAAGTCGGTAAGGATACTCATCCGGAAGTCCAATTAAATTTGGACTCCAATCTTGTTCCAACTCTTCCGCCTCATATTCCTATCACCCTAACAGTTCCCTCTCATTCAAACACTCCAGAGTCCATAATTGAAAGGCAACTACCAGTAGTCTCCACTTCATCGGGTATGATTCCTATCTCTTCCCAACCTCCTTCACTATTTAATGAAGCAGCCCGCAACACCTCTCAACCATTATACTATTCCAGTCGGCCACCAATCAACCAACAACCACCGCAACAGTCAGCAATTATGTCACCATCCGGTGTCCCTACACCATCCGGTGTGGTCACAAGGTCCAAAAATTATATCTTCACACTAAAGAAAATATTCAGCTTCTTGGCTCACCTTTCTCCCACTCCAAATACCTTTAAGCAAGCAACTAGGCACATTGAATGGAAGAATGCAATGGATCTGGAATACGAAGCCTTAATGAAAAACCAAACTTGGGAACTAGTACCTAGGGACCCAATAAATAATGTTGTTGATTGTAAGTGGTTATTTCGCATAAAAAGGAAAGCCGATGGTTCTATTGACAGGTACAAGGTGCGATTAGTCGCAAAAGGTTTCACACAATGTCCAGGACTGGATTTTCATGAAACTTTCAGTCCGATTGTCAAACCAACGACCATCAAAATTGTACTTTCTATTGCAATTCAAAATAACTGGAAAGTGCGACAACTTGACGTGAATAATGCATTTTTGCAAGGTTACTTTCAAGAGCAAGTATTCATGGAGCAGCCGAAAGGCTATGTCAATCCTGATTTTCCCAATCATGTATGATGTCTCCAAAAGGCATTTTATGGCCTAAAACAAGCTCCCTGTGCATGGTATGAAGCTCTCAAATCTCACTTGACTAAAAATGGGTTTGTTAAGTCTGAATCAGATGCTTTTCTGTTTATTTTTACATCTGAAGCTGTCACGATGTATATTCTAGTGTATGTTGATGATATCCTTATTACTGGGAATTACCTAAACTTGGTCACACATGTAATCAACTATCTGGCTTACAAGTTCTCCCTAAAGAACCTTGGTCAACTCAACTATTTTTTGGGGATCGAAGTCAAACATGTTCCAAATGGGATTGTCTTATCACAATCCAGATACATACTTGACATTCTCTCATATGTGGATATGGCAGACTGTAAAGGAGTTACGACACCCAAGTGCTCAAGTTTACCACCCAAAGCAGCTGATGGTTCACCTCCTGCCGATGCAACCTTGTATCGACGCACCATTGGTAAATTGCAATACTTATCATTCACGCGTCCTGATATTGCCTTTGCAGGTAACAAACTATCACAATTTGTGCAATCCCCAAGTCTGGAGCATTGGAAAGCAGTAAAAAGGGTGTTTCGATACCTCAAGGCATCATCAACGTCGTGCCTGCAAATCTCTAGCCACTCTGATAGTAATCTGTATATGTACGCCGATGCTGATTGGGCAGGTGATCCCTGTGACAGAATATCCACATCTAGTTACATACTCTTCTTGGGACCAAATCCGATCTGTTGGTCCTCTAAAAAGCAACAATCAATTGCTCGGTCCTCTACTGAAGCAGAATACAAATCGGTAGCCAATGCACTCTCTGAACTTAATTGGGTACACAATCTGTTGACTGAATTACGATATCAAGTTTCGCAAACGCCAAACATTTTTTGTGATAATATTGGTGTTTCATATCTCAGCAAGAACCCAGTCTTCCACACTAAGATGAAGCACATTGCAGTAGACTTTCACTACTTCCGCAACAGTGTGAACTCAGGTAGAGTGGTAGTCAAATATCTTCCTGCCGGGGATCAAATTACAGACACTCTCACAAAGCCACTGCCCAAGCCTGCCTTCCTTCGGTGTTTATCCAAGTTAGGCGTTGTTGCACCACACCTAACTTGAGAGGGTGTGTTGACATACTCACTAGTTTGTTAGTTTGTTATTAATTCTTATCAAGTTGTTAGAGTAGAGTTAGATTAAGTTGTTAAAGTAGTTCCTTAGTTTTAGTCAACTTAGTTACATATTAAGTTGTTAGAACAGTTCCTTAGAATTAGTTAAGTTAGTTACATCTTACATGTATTTAAGTTGATGTTACATTTGAATAAGATTCATTCAAGTTTGCTTTGATTCTCAATCTCTTTACTATTAATTTATTGGAATGTGTATATATTAAAAGAAATAAGTCAATTAAGATATGTTGTATTGGCTAAAATTATTTGCAGCACTTCGATTCAAGTTTCCCTTGTAGGATTGAGTAGGTGACTAGTCCTCCGTTAAATATTTGTGAGGATCCTTTTATTTTTGGGCAACCTTCAAAGCACACTACTATAGGTGCTAATTACTCAACACATCGATAGTAATAATTATATATTTTGTCCGAATCACTTTTAGATGTACTGTATTTGCCTCTAGATACAATGTATATCTAGTGAATGTATCTCGCTAGCCTCTCTCCTTACCCGTTCCTCTACTTCTTCGTATTTGTGTATAGAGTATTAAATGCGGGCTAATTTCAAATATATACAATAAAGTAATTGGTTTACAACAAATATATAACCATGTTTTTATTACATAAAACATTGCCAAAAGTCATAGGAAGTATACTCTTACTATACAATATAGTTTGTCAAAAATTATAAAAAGTATATATTGACTATACAATATAACTTACTTATACATGAGTTATACACTGACTAAACATTACAATACACTCAAAAAGTTGAATATAACTTAACTATACATGAAATATACGTTGATTATACATGAAATATACACAGACAAAATCAATCTCGATCAACTCTAAATAGTCCCAAAATTTAGACATCAAATTCTCTTAATATTTTGTATCTTTTGATATATAATTTGCTCAAAACGATTCACATCGATACATTGAATTTTTTTTTTTGAATTTAAAAAATAGCCGAAGAAGAAAAAGAATGAGGAAGCAGAACAACAACAAGAAAAAGAATGAAGACGAAGAAGCAGCAACAACCATTAATAGCAAAGTTGACAGGACAGAGACATTCAGTTGCGGAGCCACAGTCGGGGGTTCATTTGAATCCTTTTTGGCGGAAAATTATATTATTTATAGATGGTTAAAATAATTTTTTAGGTATATATATATAGTAGATGTCGAACTCTCTTCGGGTACTTCATGTATCTATTTCTTTAGTTTTGAACCCCGTTATTGAAAATTCTAAAAAATAATGTTTAAACCAAAATAACGGCTAGTGTGATGTTTAAACCAAAATAGCGGGGAAAAAGATGTTCCTTTTAGCAAGGGATTTGGTCTCTCTAGCTAAATTCATAGAAGAATAATGTCTCATCCTTGCTAAAATTAGCAAGGCTTTTGCACCTCGTTAATTTTGAACTAGTGAGTAATATAAGTCTCATTTAGAGAGGATTAGTTCATCACGTATTCATAATTTTCAGCTAGTTTCATCAGCCTTTTTTTCTTTATGAATCGGAGCGATAAAGAGTTGAATCTCAATGGATCATGACACCAGTCATCTAAAAGAATATACAATAATAATTCTATTTCAGCTTTATGTCGAGTAAGTTTTCTTTGTTGTATAAGATGCATCAAATGTAATTCAATTGCCGCTAAAAGAAAAACTATGTCACTAAATGTCTCTTTGTTGTAGTGTATCATGTTCCTTTATTCGTTACTCCTTCCTCGTTTGACACTTATTTATCAATCTGTTAAATTAAATGATTATTCTATATCTCATAATGAATTTCTTTTATAATTACACAAAATTTATATTTAAGATCATAAATTTCAAAAGCCTTATAGATATACAAATGTAATGACATATTTAAAGACAATAATATTTTTTTAAATTTCTTAAATTAAACTTTGTTATCTAGTCAAACTACGCCAAACAAAATAGAAACGAAATTGCAGCAGCACCCTGCGCACACTAGATAACAACCCCCATGCTGTAATAACCTACAAACCACACAAAGAAGTCCTATGTGACAGGCTCGACTCAGAATGTATTGAGGGGGGATCGATCCTGTATCATTCATGTGGAATTGTGGATGACTACCCTCCAAATCAACTGAGTCATCCCAAAGGACATATACATTGTTAATATCGAAATTCCAGATTTTTTGTAACTTGTTATTTAAAAAAGGGAAGGGAAACAGGAAATGGCCAGATATGTGTTTTGCGTAAAAATCAAAACCAGTTGTTTCTAGCAAATGTCAAAATGATGATGTAGTTGACAATTGATATTTGGTAAGAAATTTTAAAATCTTGTTGTCAATTCCAAGACTAAGCAACCCAAGCTGTCAATAGGTGAACGTGCAATATTTTAAGAAATTCAACAATAAAAAAAATATTAAAAGCAAATAATGTACTACATAAGTCACATTCATTAATTTTCTTTATATAAAAAAATATATAACTAGGTCAAAACAAGTATACCAATTTCGATAAATCAAATACTTCCAACAAACACAATAAATCTTTCCTTTTGTATCCTGTCGAAATGATAGTTTCCAAAGGAATATACAATACTTGTAAACTCGAAAAAAAGATCGAAGTAAAAAATGAAAAAAAAAATCACACGTTATGAACATGCTTAGCTTGTCGTTCCAAACAAGACAAGTCTTAACAATATGGTAGAAAGTGCCATACTTTCACCATTAAATTATGGGTTCAACTCCTCTTGAGACCCATAGAAGTAAAGGAAAAAACAAAAAAAAAATGTATTCAAAAAAGAGAATTTTTTTTTCTCTTTTGAAAAAACATGTACATCTCTAGAGAAAAATAAAACAATCCAAGGCAATAAGAGGATTATTAATATCCTCCATGAGTAATGCGTCCAAATCTTGATCATTTGACTTCACTTCTTCTCCAATTTCCATTTCATCAATCTTTGGAGAAATTGGAAAAACATTATTTCTCATTTTTCCTTCATTTTTTGGAGTGAAATGATTCTCTCTTCTTAGAGATGATGACCTTGATATAACACTTCCATTGTTCCCTTTTGATGCTATTGATTTTCTAAATGAGCTCTCCTTCATGTCACCATTCGAATTTGAAGGAAATCTTCGACTTGGAGATGGCGATTTTAGGGTTGTTCTAGTACTAGGAAAATGATGATAGGTAGAGGTAATACTTGAAGTATTATTATTACCAATGTTACCTCCTTTGATCATGAGTTGTTGATCATGTTCTTTTCTAAAACTCTTTTGTCTAACCATGATTGGTGAATTGGCACGTGGCCTTTTCTTAGGGGTCGTTGTTGAATTGCACTCTCTTCGAGGACTTGGTGGTTTGGACAAAGTGGTTGATGATGATGATGGTGATCGTGAGTATTTCTTGCCACTTGTAGACATGGTTGATGTATTTTGATGACTAACTTTGTTTTTCTTGATGTCAAGTATATGGTCATGTTCTTGTGCACAAGACAACAAGAAATCATTCGAGAAAGAACGATCCTTGAAATAAGAGGATGAAGAGGAGGAAGATGACGATGACAAAGATGAAGATAACGTAACATTGGTTGCAGTAGAGGAAAACGATGAAAGAGATACTGAACAAGAAGAAGAAGAAGGAGAAGAAGATACGAGTTTTCGAGGTGGTTGGATAGTTGAAGAAGGAACATGGATTTTTGGAGATACGGGAGCTTGTGATATCACAAGTTTATCTTTAACACATTCATGATGTTGATCATCATCTTCTTGAGGATTTTTTTGGGGATTGCATTTGCTAATGCAAGAACCCATAGTGAGGGAAGAACCAGGGGGTGGGGGGGTGGGGGGGTTGAGAAAATTAAGAAGAGTTAGATAGGAACATGTTTGAATGGTAAACGTTGAGAAGTCATTTATAAGAATTAAAAACTATATATTATATGGATATTGAAAGAATAGTTCAATATTGGGAAGGAGGGAAAAAAGTGTAAAGTGGAATAAGCTTTTTGCTTTATTCACTAAATATTTGAATTATGTAGCCCGGTATAACATATGGATCCGTTATATAACGGTTATATGTAGCAACACAATGATGGTTTATTTCACTTTCTTTTTCTACCTTTTGTAACGTGCAAGTGAAAACCTTAGCCAAGTGTTCCTTTTACCTTTTTCTCTTTGCATATCAGTAGTATTAGTATTAGTCTCGTAGTTTTTTTCCTTCGTTTTTTATTACTGTTGTTTCTTTAACGGTTATCGTATTATCTTATTGGTGTTTATGTTGTTTTTTCTGAATGCTGTGTAATGTTTTCTCTAGTATATATTTTCTATGTTTGTTTTTACTTCTATATTTTATTTTTTTAAATTGGTTTGATATGCATTACTTGAGACGGGAATCATTTGAAAATAACTTTTCTACCCTCCTAAATCTTACCTGTGAAATTACACTAAATATATTATTGTTATTATTTTGAACCTAGTGTTTGGGATTTGTTTTGGACTTTGATTAGTTCAAATTTAAAACATTTTCGGTTGAAAATAATTTTATTCTTGAAATTTGAATAGGAGACTTTCAATTAAGAATGGATACCTCCGACCATCCAACACAATCTTTGGTCCTCCTTTCATTTGTTTGGCTTCTACTTTTTATATTACTTTTGTATATAGAGGACTTAGGAATCAGGTATAGGAGGATGTTAAAAAAAAATCAGAATTTTGAACTTCTATTTTTAATTTTTCATTCACAAATCTTATATGCGTTGCCTAGGAGTATTGTAAGAACCTTACTTGAATTTTAATGAGGGTATATTTTTAGGGGGACAATTTGGAAATAATCAAGAGGATAATATTGAAAAGTGACATTTATTTATGTCCTTAAATATTTTTCTTACTGTGTGGCATGCCTTCAATAATTCATTTAATATGGACTAGAGTCATCTCAATTTATGACAAAATAAATTATTTTTCTCATTTTAATTTTAATAGTGATTGCTATTGAAAACTATAAATACCCTAACTTAGGTAAATTCTCTTTTGTTAGTCCCTATTAAGTGAATTGTTGGGGTTTGACACACCCCTTAAGAAAATATTTAAAGAAATAAACCAAATGCTACTTTCCATCATTACCCTATTGATTATTCTCAAACTATTCAACTAAAAAAATGTAAAGTAATTAACAACCATATTAAATGATTTATGACAAAATTAATTATTCAAAATAAATGATGTAAAGTAATCTTTTATTTATGATTTATAAATATTTTTCACTTACTAGAGCTAGCCATCTCAATTTATGACAAAATTAATTATTATTTTTTCATTTTATCTTTAATAGTAATTATTTTTGAACTAGAGCCATCTCATTTTTTTATTTGACAAAATTATTTTGAGTCCAACCCTTAAAATTCTGGACTAATTAGGTTGACAGATTACTTATATTTGAACTCATTTTTGACACCCCTAAAACCACCCATAAATTCTTAGCAAGGAAAAATATAGCATCAACCATGTCCCATCTGCATAGATTGATGTACTACAAATATTGTATTGAATTGAAATTCAAAAGAAACCTCGAAAGAGAGAAACCAAATTAATGTCTCTTCAATTTTTAATGTAAGTTATAGAGGAAATCAAATTGAATTTCAGTAATATAAGCATGGGGTTCAAGTTATAGATGATTCATGTATCTATAGACAAACTTTAGAAGTTTAGCACTTTATCAAAAACAACATTCTAAATCCTCCCAGACACCAAAATATTTAAGTTGAAAGGATTTCGAAATATTCTATGTTTTCCTCTAAACACAAAAATGGGTTCTTTCTAACAAACATTATCAAAAATATTCATAAATAAATGGTTCATTGTGATTTGATAGGGTTGAGTTAAGATTTTTGGAGCTCGTTTAAGAAAAATATTTTTTAGTCCAACCTGAATAAGCATGCTGATTTGTGGGTCTTGAGAATTATAGGTAGGATCGGTCCGTGGGCCAAATAAAAATAAAATAGAGTATTAAAATAAACAAGAGTCCAAATTCAAAATCTATTTAAAGTTTTAAATATTATAATTTAAATACAAACTATGTTTATAAAATATGTATTACATAAAATAAAAATTCCTTAAAATTTCTAGAGAATCACTACGTAGGCCGTAACCTATGAAATATTGTCATACTTTTTGTGTTTTATTATGATCATTATAAAATAATTAAGTTAATATTTCTATTTAGCTATTTATACTTTTATTTGAAATCAAACTTAATAAATATTATAAAGATGATTTTATTTGTGGATTTAATTAACAAGTAGTGGCACTAACACCATGTAATATTGTCTTGTTGATTTTTACGATAATATTTTTAAATTATAATTTCATTTATAAAATTATAAAAAAAATAGGTTGACTCGACCACATCATGTAATCCACATACTTGTGGATTGGGCGGACTATTTTCTATCTCACGAAAAAATAGATCAGCTAAATTTGTCCCGTTAAATTTCAAAATCAGTATGAATTAGCTTAGATAAAATGAGTCAATCCATATTGACAGTTCTAGAGAAGACTAATGAAAAGAAGCCAAGATATATTAGAATGAAATGAATGAAATAAAAAGGATTAGGTGTTTGGTTTTTGTCCACGACATGAAAATTGAAAGACTTTAATTTCAATATTTGACCCCTTACATTTCCATCTATCTCGTCTTTCTTGTTTATCCTAATTAATAATTAGGAAATTTATCTACATGCGCTTGTATAAAGACGATAATATATATATATATATATTACTCTTTATTAGAAGTGGCACTTGAGGGTGTACGAACACTGCTATATGCAGTTGTACAAAGTGCACCAATAGTTGTATTTTTTTAAGGATAATTTCGTAATTTTATCTTATTAGTCTATATTACTTTATGTCAACACCAATATATAGTTTGGGCTTTGTGGGCTTATTTAATTGGCTATTAGACTTTCTTTGTAGGAAACCAGCTGTATTGCACTTTGATGTTAGATTTTTCTCCGCACAAACATAGGGGATAGATCTATTGATCGTCTGTAAAGGTGGTAAAAAACCTTTTTTTCTCCTACACTGTTTGAATACCGAATCTCGAGTGGTTCGATTTGTATTTGGTGTTTCTATTGATTGATGTTTTTTTGTGTTATATAAGCCAACAAAAGTTGGAGCATATATGCTACTATTATGAGTCAAGAACATGTTGCTTCTCTGCGATACTCATTTCAAACTCTTTCAGGCTTGAAAGTGTCGTTTTTCCTCGTTGTGTCTGTATGTTCTAATTTGTATATTGCAACGCCTTCTTGGTGCTGGTTATGAATACATCTTCTTTGAAATACTAAAATATATTCTCTTGCTAATCAGATGAGGTAATTTATGCCATTATTGTGTTTGGCGAAATTCCCCATTGAAAAAAGATTTGTGTGTCGTGAAGAAAGCTTAGTACCAAGAGTTGGCCGCTTTAAAAAATGTTGGAAGTATAATTAAATTGAAGTATGGGCTTCCCTCCGCTTATTGTTATCTTTTGCTTTTTATCTAAAATGTTTTGTTCCCGTGTGGAGAAGGGGTTACCAGTTAAATGTTTTTAGAATTACCTTAATTTTATTGATCTTTTGTAATGGTATTTCATTTACTTGCATGTGTAATTCTACAGTAGCATTACTACTATTTATCTAACTTTTTTGTCGAAGTGAAGTGATGTTTTGTTTCAGAAAAAAAAATTGGCAGTCAACACTCTCTGCATTAAGAAACATTCGGTGGAAACCATTTTGATCCGTGGAGATAAAATTTTGACACTCAAGTCAAGGTACATTACTACATAAGAACTATATTAGTACTATTGTTTTCTGAAAATAATCTGAAGATCTTTGAACTTTTTTATGTTTTCGCACAAGATTGAATCAAATAGCAAGGGATCATGAAATTACTTGATCTCTCGAACTCTTTAGTGTTTGTGAATAGTAAGAAGAACGGAGTAAATGTTTCTAGCAATGCTCTTGTGGAAGTTCCCAGCTGCACCCAGGAAGCTATGATTGTACACTATAATTTGCATTAGCCATGCGTCCTAGGCTCGATGTGTGAAAGTACCTGTCATGGAATCTTAAGACACTAAAATGGCTGAATTGAGAATCTCCGAGTACTTTCAATTGAAAGAGGTACTCTACGATTTTGCAGTGTATGAAGTTGAGAAGTCCCACATATTTTGATACATATAACAAGTGAGATTTTGAGGCCAAATATGTTTGAGTCACAGGAGATTGGTCAAAAAGTTGCAAAATTATTGAAGAAGTATATTTTGCTCTTATATTTCTTTCATGGCACGAATTGGAGTAGGTAGTTGCATCCTACATGTTCTGTGTTAGATTTCGCCTCATGAATCAACAATCGACTTCCCCATGTGTAAGGTAAATACATTTTGATTATAATATGTTTGCGATTACGTATAAATGAAGCCGGAATCAAAATAAGGAATCGAAACAAAGGGCCCAGATAAGAGAGATCACCATTAGTGGTCTGGCTAAACACAAAGCCTTAAGAATACATACATTCGACTGCACAAAGCCTTAAGAATACGTACATTCATCAAATGAACTTTACATAAGCCTCCTTATAAGTGAATTGATACTCAGAAGGTTGAGATGTAGGTATCTTTTTGAGAAAACAAGATATTAAGAGAATACAAAATTACCCGTTCGTTTACTTTCTCAAACAGTTGTAAGGTGTCCATAAGTACAGAACATGTTTGAGGAAGAACATTGCATTAAACTATTATAAAAGCCTTACAAATTGTGCTCTACATTTTGCCTCGACTTAAT